ATAATATCATAACATATTTGCATTACTATCAAGATAATATCCAAAATTATATCGTCGAAATTCCATAAGTGTGTGTAATTCCTATATACACATAATTCTACATACATATTTCCTATATGTATCGCAGTTAAATTCTAAATGGCATGTTGTTAAATAGTTAGTTTACCAAACATGTGTGATTTTGGAATTCACATATCTAAAGCCTGCCACACGGGTTCATTCCAGATCGTCTATTCCATGCGTAGAATAATACAGTACAAAAAAAATTTCAATAATAAGGTTATTAATGCACAAGCAGGTTATGTTTTATAAATACACTTTTCATTTGTTCAACCTGTTGCGAGTTGTTCACCAAGTTTCAAACTTGTTTGGAGTTTCCGATGTTAAATATGTAATGGAAAACTTGTTTCCACTGGAGGCTCGTTATTATAAATCTAGATTATTTAGTTATAAACAATTACTTTACCTTTCATTGAATGTTTATTAGTTATTTACAATAGTAAAAGCTACAGGTGGTCTTTGATCTTATAGCAGCCCAACACCGCTCTCAAAAATAAAGTAATTAAGTCAAGTAAATTAAACGTCCTGTTATGATATCGTTCCTAAAGTTTAATACCTATAAAACAAGGATTTTAACCTGTTCCATAATAAAAAAAATAATAATAAAAATGTCGCAGGCCTAGGGTATGTTTTCTATTCTCAAACAAGCCAAAGAAGAGCATCTTATTATTAAATCCTATGCGTCACGTCATCTACAATAGCATCAATAAACATGAGAACATTTTTAGTGAAATAAAGCTAAAAGAGGTTCTACAAGTATATTATTTGAACAATATAGTTGGCCACAGCTAGTTGTAAAATGGCGCATTTATTTAAAATAAATAAATGCAACGTAATTAACTGTGTTGTGTAATAATAATAAATTATAAGTATGACAAATATTTAAAATCTAAATATGAATTACCTTCCAACTAAAATCACAAAATATGTAACATACTACAGAGTAAGTTAGATAACCACCATACATAGCTCCAAACATGCTTTATAAAAAAAACATTTAATTGCATTCTCAAATCAAATTTTACTGGTCAACGGAAATTCAATAATCTTGAACATTCTTATTGATCATTGATTACGTTAGAAAAAAAGGTGATAAACGGGTTTGAATAAATTAATCTCTAAAGGTTTCAGTGATTAAACCAACATTATTTGCAAAACAATAAGATATAGCATAGATTTATTTTTTGTTGCGCCATTTATATTTTTGATAATAAGTGGGTATCGGTGTGATTAATAAATAGAACATATTAGAACCTTTGTTAGTTGATTTTTTTTTATTTTGTACTTTTTATATTATAATTTGAGCTAAGGCACTAAACATTTTTTGGCAAATTATCTTTTTTTATTTTTACTCACTATTGGTCTATGAAGTGTAAAGGTATCTCCTTTTCAAAGGGACAAAAGCCTCGTTAGTCTCGTCTATAACCCGAAACCACATGACGGACATGACAGATGGACAAAGGCTATATTGACATGCAGGTAAATACTATAAGCTGTCAAACACTATGACATAGACTGACATGCTTTTGAATATTGAACTCGACTTACCAATAGGTCTTTTCCTGTTCGTTGGTGTAACATTATTACTGTCCTTTTACCTGTATTCAATATGGCTATAAGATAAATAATGATTAACATACGCTATGTAAAATGATTCTCATGGCTAATTTTTACATGGGGTTCTGCATGATTTTATAAAGGACACATGCTATAAATTATGAACCAAAGAAATATACTAGCAGTGCAATATGTGAAAAAGAAGAATTATTACAATATATTTATTCTATTTCTTCAATTGAATTTCATTACAAATGTAGTTATAATAACCTAGTAAGTAGTTTTACATAGTAATTTCACGTATTAGTTAATTTTATTGTAGTTTATTTTCTAGTGGAACAGATACATTATAAGTTATTTGTATGTGTCCGATTGTTAGCAAGTAATTTAAACTGTTAATAACTAAAATAATTAACCAACTTAAACCGAACAACTGTTCCTCACAAATTAAGTTATTCTGGCAACTGTTAACTCTTTAACTTTTCTTTTAGGTTTGTGTAAAATTCAGTTTACCATACTGTATAACTGTGCATTAGTAAAGTTCTAAACAACCACAGAGTCAGCTGTTTCTCTTAATTTCTTTTCATTTTTAAAGCAAATAGAAGCAAATATTCAATGGTTTTTAGTCAAGTTACTTTCAAAACTTGTCATACAAAAACTAACTCGAAACTAAATTAGTGGATTAGGTCTAAAGTTGCCATATGTCTAGTATAGTTTTCCCCGTAAAGATATATGTCAAGCATTTTATCAACCAAATAATATACAAGCAAATATAAATTGAATTATGTTCTCAGAAAAAGAAAACTAATATTAAGTCACCCTTATATTAACTCTCTAAATGTAATCATATATTTCACCTGCCATAATAATTGACATTAGCACACTTATTAAGAAGCTCAGAATTTTATTCAAATCTAGACCTTGGTGTAACATCTGAATGTTTACTACTAACAATAGTCAAGTACCATAGACTACCACAGCCACTGATGAAAGCTTAGTAAACGTGAAGACCCCTACCACAGTCAACAGCTGCATTCAAGTAAACCTCAACTGCAGGAAACGGAATAGAGAATCCTACTGCCTGGTAAAAATAGGAGATTTGGTGTATAGGAGTTTTTCGTGTTTTGTTGTTGTTTATTAAAGGATGTGTTTTATTAACTATTTTAAGACCAAAGGCCCAAAAATTCAAAAGTAAAACTATTAACAAATAAGTTTTAGAGTCACCTAGTCCTGGTTGAATGACATTTTCTTAAAAGTGATCATCATCATTGTGAGAATACTGGTTATTGTGAGTTCTTATTTTAGCATTATCTCATTGAATTTTTTTTTTGTGCGTTGATACTCCTTGATATTATAAACAACAAATATCAGCTACATAAACATCAACTCAGTCTGTTAATATTTTGTATGAAATCTTATATTATACATAAAATATAAACAATCACTGAAATTATCGTTAATGGCACACATCTTACCTTAAAAATATAAGGACTAATAATTTCTGAGTCTTCTTCAACAAAAAAATCATAAGAATAGTGTTTTAGTAACAAAGGACTTAGCTATCAATCTCTAATAATAGTTGTAGTAGTATTTCTTAAAATGTATAGATTTGCATTATACTTATTTCAAAACATGTTAAAGTTTGTTGTTAATAATCGTGGCTGCAGTAAATTTCAAAAAAAAAAAATTAATTCAAGTCATTTCATAATTTTTGTTGTACTTATTTGATAGTCAATGTCATAATCTACATCAAGCCCAGATAACCATGCACCAACTGATATAAAATATGAAACACATATACTTGTTATAATTAAAATTACAATTAAGGAAAACCATTGAGTATTTCATCGATCCAGAACCAACTTTAGTAGTCGCATTTTATCGCTGCGGATTTTCAATAAATATAACAACGCATTATCTCACCCGAACAGGGTTTTGTTGGATGTGTTTGTTTTATCGTCAAATAAGCCGTTACGTAAATCAATATGTAATTCATTTCACAAACAATTTCTAAATCCATATTCACATCCATTTATCACAGGTGTATTACTACATTTGACTAACACTTGCGTATCTGACCTAAATATGTTCTTCAGATTGTATTTCTAAACATCATAAAAATTTAAAACATTTTTACGATTCTACTTACCATCTAAAGCAAAACATGATTTGTTTGATCATCAGTAGAAATATTTCATATTAGCATACTTAGTTTTTTGCAGATTGTTTATCCCTTTTATATATCTTATTTAATCTATTTTTTATGGATTTAGAACCACACTCTTATTTTGTGACAAATTTATCACAAAGGTCTACTACTGTAATGATCATTTTGTAATGGTAGTATATACAATTTTTCATTAGACCCAAAAGTGGCTATTTTCAGCCTGAGCTTAAGTTTTTCGACCAGGGTAAAAACGAACGTACCCACTGTACTACTCGTAGAGCACCATTGCTGAACATTTTCCAAAGCTCCCTGTAGCAGTGCTTTGGAAAATGTTCAAAATATATAGTCAAAAGTGTCCAGACTGCTCACTGAGAGAGCAGTCTTGACTTGATTTCACCACCTTGAACATCTTGATGTCACCGGTGAAAAGCTGGAAAGCATTATCGATTATGTATATAATATCATTAATGAAGATTGAGAACGAATAAAGAATGTTTGTAGGTCTACCAGAAAGATCAATAACGCTTTTTACAAATGCTTTTATAATATGATATTTGCTATTTATTTAAGAGATTATTTATTTGGTTAACAACAGTACAAATACTGTACACAATAGTATTCTCTTTGCCCTCTAAATGTCTATTTAGTTATATCACATTGTAAATTACATAATACATTTATTAAAATAGTTTTCAAGACAATATTAGTCATTTCAGGCATTATGCATTATTGATAGTCAAACAATACAATTACACTAAGTATTATGTAAATACTGTCATTAAACAATAAGAGCTATATGCTTAACAATTATTACCATATTATACTTTAACGACAGAAGAGAGCCAAAAAGAATAAGACCCGCAAACCATGCAATTTATTTGGTTTATACCCGTGATCTTAATCCGGTATATCGCCAGTCTTCGTTGATAAATTGAAAGTGATCTCTCAAGATGTTATAAAGTGAAGAATATTTTAGTTTCGTTATTACAATATCAAGAAGCCAGTTTAAGTTCAATACAATAGGATCTAAGGTCAAAGTACAAAGTCCAACCCCACAGAGGAGACGAACGACGAGGGAGTCTCAGTCTACGTTATGCCAAGGTACGTTGAACATAGTGCGTTGTTAGTCAGGTTAAATTCAGTGTTAGACCGGCTAGTTACGTCTAAATCGTATAGGTTATGATTAGGCAATTATTAAAGAAAACTAAACTATTTCATGGCGACGAGTATTTTAAAGAACGGCAAACGAGCAATTAACTATCAGCTAAATCCAGAAGCAACAGGTGAGAACAGTGAAGAAAGGAGTGGTTGTACTTGGGAACGGATTGAAGAAGGCAGGTCCAATAACAGTAACAGCTCCAAGATAACAGGTCCAGTATTGCCCTGCAAGCATTTCCAGTTCCAGTTACACCAGGTCGGTAAGCAGTTACCAAGAAGTAATAAGTTTTGGAACTGTTAAAAGTAACAGGTACAGAGAGATTTCTGTAAGTAGACACTGGTTGACTCACTGAAAGCACGTTGCACAGGTTGGATTAGTCATCACGGTGTCGTGTGCAAACTTTCTTGTCAGATATTGCAAAGTTTTGCTTAAATCTGCTAAAAACTGATTTTTAAATGTTTGAAGCTATTTAAAGTGAATAAAAGTGTTTTAATATACAGGAAAAGTATTGCCAGAGAAGATTATTGAAGTATGTTTTGATTTTAATGATTTTTAGTGTAGGCCTAGGACTTGTACTATGGCCAAGAGCATCATCGGTAAGTTGTCAGAGTTTGATCCAGAGCAGGAATCTTTCGAAAATTTCTCTGAGAGGCTAGAAAACTTCTTTTTAGTAAATTCAGTCAAAGATGAAGACAAAAAGAAATATTTTATCTCGTTTATGGGGCCTAAAATGTATGCCACTTTGAAAAATCTCTTGGTTGCTAAGTTGCCTAAAGATGTAGCTTTTAAGGAAGCTTTAGAAGCTCTTCAAGCTCATTTTGCTCCGAAAAGGAATATTACATATGAACGTTTCCTTTTTAATAAGAGAAACCAGTTGGATAGTGAAACAATCTCGGAATATGGGGTTCAACTTAAAAAGCTAGCCTCAAAATGTAATTTTGACAGGTTTTTAGATGAGGCTCTCCGTGACAGATTTTTGTGTGGGTTGAAATCAGTTCAGATCCAGAGTAAGTTATTAGCAGAGGGAGATAGTTTAACTTTTGAAAAAGCCCTATCTACTGCATTAGTCATGGAAGATGCGGAGCACAATGTCAAATATTTACATAAAAACAGTGCTGTTGAGGTAAACTTTGTTAAAAACAAAAGTTCCGCACCAAAGGTTAGGCCTAAAAGTACAGGCCAAGATGCTAGGCCTAAAGTGTGTTACAGGTGTCAGAAGGAGCATGATGCTTGGAGTTGTCCGTACAAGAAGTACGTATGTAATTTGTGTAAGCGAAAAGGTCACTTAGCGGCTGCTTGCCAACAGAGTAAATATAAAAGGTCTTCTTTTAAGCTTAAGCCTAAATCTAGGGTTAGCTATTGTGATGAAGATAACCTCAATCACACAAACTGTAGTGATGAGGATGATTCTGTTGATGGAGAGGAGTTGTATTTGAGTGATTTGACGGTAAATACCATAGCCTATGCTAATAGTTCTGGAACAAAGAATTTTATAGCAAAACTGTTTGTAAATAATGTACCATTGAACATGACTGTTGATACTGGAGCAGTAGTTAGTGTCTGCCCGGAGAAAATTTATTATGATAAATTGCAGCATGTAGTCCCAGCATTAAAGCGTTCATCCATTAGTTTGAAAACATATACTGGAGACAAAATACCAACAATTGGTGAGTTTCAGGCTACAGTCTCCACCGATGACGGACAATCGAAGGTGTTGCCGCTTGTTGTTGTCAAAAACAAGGACCCAAATCAACCAATACTAATGGGGAGGAATTGGCTTCAGGAAATCAAATTGGATTGGTCTCGGATCAACGGGGGAGAAAGTTCCTCGCTGCTGGCAATTGGTAAGACTGTTCCAATTCATAATACGATTAAAGATCTGAGGGCCAAGTATAATGATGTTTTTGATGGCAAGTTTGGGGAGATAAAAGATGTAGAAGTTAATTTGGTGTTAAAAGAAAATGCAAGACCGGTATTCTGTAAGCCACACAACGTCCCGTTTGCATTAAGGCCTGCAGTAGAAGCAGAGCTCAAGAAATTAGAAGATAATGGAATAATAAAACCTGTGACTCAGTCTGAGTGGGCCACGCCTTTGGTGGTGGTTCGAAAGGTTAATGGTACAGTTAGGCTATGTGGGAACTACAAAATAACGCTAAATCCTTGTGTAAGGACTGATCATTATCCTTTGCCCCTGCCTGATGAAATTTTTAACAAAATAGTAGGAGCTAAAGTATTTTGTAAATTGGACTTGGCAAATGCATACTTACAGTGCAAAGTAAATTCAGCTTCACAGGAGTTGCTTACCATAAATACTCATAAAGGATTGTACAGATATCTCAGACTTCCTTATGGAATCTCAAGTGCAGGACCCTTGTTTCAATCTGTTATGGACAAAATTCTTTGTGGACTAAAGAACACGTATTGTTATTTAGATGATATACTGATAACGGCTGCTAGCAATGAAGAAATGTTTTTACACCTAGAGGTGGTCCTCCGCAGGCTTATGGAGTATGGAGTTAAAATTAATAACGAAAAGAGTGAGTTTTTCAAGACTAGGATCACTTTCCTAGGGCATGAGTTGGATGAAGCGGGTATTCATCCTTCTAAGGTACTTACGGAAGCTATTGTAAAGGCGCCCAAACCAGAAAATGTGTCACAGCTTCGCTCATTCCTGGGGTTAGTTAACTATTATGGAAAATTTTTGCCAAATCTCTCTAGTATATTGTATCCATTGTACCAGCTTTTAAATAAAGATGTTAAATGGAATTGGTGTCAAAAATGTGAAGAGGCTTTTACAACAAGTAAAAACATGTTAGTTCAAAACAATGTTCTGCTTCCATTTGATCCAAATCTAGACATTGTAGTCTCAGCCGATGCATCACATTATGGTCTAGGAGCTGTCTTAGCACTTGTGTTACCCAACGGGTCTGAAAGGCCTGTAGCATTCGCATCGCGGACATTAGGCAAGAGTGAGATTAAGTACGCACAAGTTGAAAAAGAAGCACTGGCTCTCATTTTTGCTGTGCGCAAGTTCCATAATTTCTTATATGGGAGGAAATTCACACTGGTGACTGACCATAGAGCATTAACATTCTTGCTTGGTCCCACCAAGGCCATACCCACTCTGGCAGCTGCTAGAATTCAGAGGTGGGCATTAATTTTGGCGACATACCAATATGATTTGTTGTACAAAAAGGGTGCTGATCATGGAAACGCAGATGCCCTCTCTAGGCTGCCATGCAAAGGAGAAGAGGAGGAGGAGATAGAAGGTGAAATAAACTTTTTTGCCCACAGTCAGAAATTTCCTATATCCTACAAGGAAATCGGGGTTTCGACAAAGTATGATCCGATTCTGTCGAAGGTCTTAGACCTTACTAGAAATGGCTGGCCTGCGTATACGAATGATATACAGCTAAGACCGTATTCCGATAAAGCATTGCAACTTTCTGTAGAAAAAGACTGCTTGCTGTGGGGCTCAAGAGTAATAATTCCCCGTGTTCATCAAGAAGAAGTGCTACAATTGTTACAAACGGAACACCCTGGCGAGTCGCGTATGAAGGCAATATCTCGCAGCTTCGTTTGGTGGCCAAAACTTGATGTTGAAATTGAAGAGTTTGTGAAGAAGTGCAGTATCTGTCAGAAGACTAGGAAATCAATGCCAGTGGTCCCGTTACAACCATGGTCATGGCCAAACCGCAACTGGCAAAGGCTACATCTAGATTTTGCCGCCTATGAGGGGAAAGATTTTCTCATTCTCGTTGATAGTAGATCCAAATGGCCCGAAATCTTCCACATGAAATCTACAACTTCTGCTAAAGTAATAGAAAAGCTAAGAACCTGTTTTGCAGCTTACGGCTTACCAAATACTGTGGTAACAGATGGAGGTACTCAGTTCACGTCTCAAGAGTTTAATGACTTTCTGAAGTTCAATGGCATTCGGCATCTGGTTTCACCACCATATCATCCGGCTTCAAATGGCCTTGCAGAAAGGATGGTGCAGACAACCAAAGACGTCTTCCTGAAACAGCTTTTGGAGGATTCAAAAACCACTTTAAACCGAACCCTACAACATAGGCTAGACAGATTTTTGTTCGCCTACAGGAACACGCCACACTCAACCACAGGCATGACACCTGCCGAAATGTTTCTCAAGACCACCCCACGTACACCATTGAGTTTACTTAAGCCTCATTTGTCTGACGATATGAAGAGAAAGCAAGAAGAGACGAAAACGAGAGCTGATACCCGAAGAGGAAAACAGAGATCTTTTAATAAAGGAGATATGGTACTAGTCCGTACTGTGAGACAAGAGAAGATAAACTGGCAGTCTGGTGTCATTTTCAAGGTTGTCAGTCCAGTAACCTATCTAGTTAATGTGGAAGGTAAAACAAGATTCATACATGCAGACCACCTTAAGTTGAATCCATCACATGAAGATGAAGAAGAACAAACGTTACCTAGACCAGATGAAAACACAAGGACAGAAGAAATTGCAGCACCGGCAATTGAATATTCTCCTAGACAAACCCCAACAAAAAGCCCTAGTAAATCCCGGACAAGACCATCACTACCACAAAATCAAGACTCTCAAGAATCACCAGGAATAATCAAGTCTCCAGAAAGAGTAAACTTGAAGAGTCCAGACTCATGTATCAGACGTTCAAAACGAACAATAAAACCGCCTGATAAACTGAACCTGTAGAGCATAAGAAGAGAGTCGCCCTCCCTAAGAAGAGTTTTTATTTAGAGTAAATGTTTTATTTTTATAAGTAGGGAGGGAATTGTTATAAATTGAAGAATATTTTAGTTTCGTTATTACAATATCAAGAAGCCAGTTTAAGTTCAATACAATAGGATCTAAGGTCAAAGTACAAAGTCCAACCCCACAGAGGAGACGAACGACGAGGGAGTCTCAGTCTACGTTATGCCAAGGTACGTTGAACATAGTGCGTTGTTAGTCAGGTTAAATTCAGTGTTAGACCGGCTAGTTACGTCTAAATCGTATAGGTTATGATTAGGCAATTATTAAAGAAAACTAAACTATTTCACAAGATAAATGGAAACAATAAAGTTATAAAGAAAATGGTATGTGATCAATCTAAGATTCTTTTATTTGCGCCTCTGATTGATTGGGTATCGGTGTTTCAGTCCCTGAATTATTTCAGTTTATGTAAAGCTAGTTAAGTTCCACCTAATGTTTGTAATTATTGTATAAAACGTATTGTCTGTGACTTGAGTTGTCTTGAAAACCAGTTTTGACTGAAGACCGTTTGAAAAGAAACGTACAAAATAACAAAATTCAAGTCGTTGTATAATGATTTTTAATTAAAAAAAAACCTCTAAGTCATTTAGAGGAAAAACCAACATATGATTTATTCAGCCAGATTGACTTTACTTGATTACCCTTCATGCATACAGACTAAACATGTTCACAAACTTTATCAATCTAACGACTATTTAATTTATAAAAATGTGCTATTAAAATGATATCATTTTATTGACCAGGCCTTTTGGAATCAGCACACAAGTCGACACGAATCCTCCCATTGAAAGCAGCTTCAAGCTGATTGAAGCTTTAACAACATTATTCAGACCGATACAGTTCCCTGAAAGGGCAACATTCAACATCAAACCTTCCATTAGTATTCCTCTGTTGAAGTTTGGTGTTACAATATGGCACCTAGTTGAAACCAGGCTTGAGGAAACTGTTTAATATAGTATTTTACGAATCTGTCATATATATTATATAGTTTAAAAGAAATATTAGAAGCGAAAAATGTATGCCCTTATTATTTTCATTAAATAAAATAACATTTTCCAACTCCTACTTTATTATTTGTGTGTTTTGCTATTTTAGAAAAAAAAACAAGTAAATGAAAATTTTGATAAACTCAGTTTGATTCTGACTCTTTTATCTTTCATTTATGACTCTGTAACCCGTTCAATGAAACATATTTTTCAAGTCAATGTGTGTTGGAAGCCAAGTTGAAGGTTTAAAGAAATGTATCATATTCGGCGAAGGTTTTTTCGTATATAGGTTAATGAAAAAACAGGTTTGGAAATCAGTTAGTGCATCTTGCTGTCCTTACATAGTAAAATCATCACTAGTTCGAATTGAAAATATTGTATCAAAATATATATACGTAGTGTATATCTTCTTAAATATATAAAACATAAATACCAGTGACTGAGAGATGGCTGGTATATCTCAAAACATATACGGTCTTGATTGGTTATATTTGGAATGGGGAGTTCCTGTATGGTGTAGATGTACAATAAGCGGGGTTTTGACAAATTGTAAATTTAAGGTTTCAAGCTATTTCCGGTGAAATTTTACTATGCAAGACTTGATATTTTGAACGTTATAAGCTGAACCAATGTTTGGGTCTTAAATCTTAGAGAAAATAGTAAGTGTGAAATTAAATTATTTTATCTGCAACTTTATATTTTAAGTGCTTTTATACCTCAAACGGGTTAATAGTAAAAACGTTGAAAACTGTGAAAATTGACTTTTTCTCATGTTTGTACCTCAAAGATAGGCAGTTTTCGCTTAACCACGATTACGAAACTTTCTATTTCATTGCATAGCAGTATATTTTACGTAATACAAATACATAAATTAGTAAAAAAAACTGTCAAAACATAGTTTACATGTGCTTAAAGAACGTACTTTATTACATTTTAGGAGTTATTGCTCATGTTATTCTTTCTAAAATACAACAAACCGAATAAAACCGTAACCTTGAAAAACAATGGACATGTTCTATTACAAATCCTTATTTCAGTGTTAGCTTTACCATTAGCCAAGCTTTTGTAATTTTTTTTGTAAAATGGTGTTAGTTAAAAGGGAATACAGGGATCAATTATATAAAACCTGTGTACTCAGCCAATTCCCAGAAGATTTTAACCAAGATAAGATCATAACGGCTAATCACCAAATCGCTAATCGTTAGTATTTTTTTTTTTTTTTTTTTTTGCTCATGTGAAAACAAACTATTAAATTTATTTATCTTCCCAATGATTTTTTTCATCCTTTTCCTAAAGTCTCTTCAAAAACTAATATTAATGTCCTACAGCCTGACGAGAATAACTTCCCACAGTTCTTTATCTATAAGAGTATAAAATATATTACCGTTCCGGGACTTTTCAATCACACTGTATACATACATACATATATACATATTTTAACGACATAGAAGATATGATTCCTGGTGACTTCATACTGCCCAAAAGACAATGCTATAACGATAAACCGATACAAACGAGTTATCAATCCATTGTTCATTAAATAATATTTTTATTCCGTTGAGGTAAGTGGCTTACTGAAAGGCAGCCCCTGTGTCGGTTTACCATATAATTCAGTTAATACTGCTTTGTCCTCATCAGATGTTCAAGTTTTAACAGAATAATATTGCATTGGGAGTAAGCCAATGAGTATGGTAGAAAACTATTTTATTAGACCATCTTGAGTCATATACATGAATATGTTATTATTTAAAAAAATAAAGTGATATAAAAATGTGAGAAAATAAAGTTTTACGTAAAAAGTAAGTTGGATTTAGCTAAAGAATATATGTGGATCTTTTTCAAGTCAAAGTTGAACAGTGAATTAATTTGATAATAATTAACCTTATTGTACATATATCATTCTTTGTACTACTGAAAAAAATGTTATTCACACATTTAACTTTTATGACCTTATGAAAATAAATAAACTAATTCAGTCTTCATATAATGTAAATTAAGATATAAATCCTTTGGTGTATGTTACAAGCCAATTACTTAACTCTACAACTCGTTTACAATATATAAAGAATGCATAAGGACTTATTCATTTCGGTAATTATAAGTCACGTTAATCCATATAGGAAAGAAATACACGATAATATTGATTTATTTGGAAGTGTATTTCCTTAAATCCACTTACGTAAACTAAATTTAGATTTTCGTCTTTTATTACATTCTTTAAAAAAGGGTTTTAAGTAATAGTTTGTGGGTAATCTGGGCTAATTAAAAATATTCTGATAATAATCCCTTAACTGGGTACTAATGTATAACACGAAAAGCAAAGTAGTTTTATGAATTCCAAACAGGTTTCCTAAGGGAAAACAAAGGGGGGATAGAAATGTACATTTTAGATTGAGTATTTCTCCTAAAAGAGGATTAGAGTTTTTGTAGCAAGCTGTCTTGAGCAAATCCTAGAAACGTTACGTCCCATTATCTTCCTCAGGTTTATATTCTAAGCTCTAGAGATTTAAGGAGAATTTCATCCATATAAAGGTTTGCAAAATGAATAGCCATCTCAAAAAATGAATAATTTCAAATATAAATTACTCTTATAAATATGAAAAATATTTAAGATGTGTCAGTCTGGATATTTTGCGATTGGTGTAAATTACAACATAGCAAGAACCGACTGTTTTTACCATCTCTGATTTCTGCCCTGTATGCCACTCTACGCCAATTTTTGTACATGGATAGTAATTTTTACCTATAAAATAAAACTCTTCATATGTGATTAATAATAAAAACTTAAATAGTATTATTATTTATTTATTATAATTGAATTATTTGCAATCAGCTAACCATTAGATAGTCAAATGAAATACAGGTTCCATGTGTCGTTAAAAAATGTTAGGTGTAAAATTTAATTTAAACAGTTTAAGCCTATTTCCTCTTTTTAATAAGTAAATTAAAATTAACTGAACCTAAATTTTGTTTCGTTCCATTTAATTGTTGTGATACAAAGTTTGCCTTCGATCGCTACTTTTCCTCATATGAGAACTGAACACAACAAAACTGCAAGAAATTTGTAAAAGTGGCATTTTGGGAAATCAGGTCTCATAATTTTTTTTTCGTGGGTAAAAATTCCACTTTCTATTAATTAATTATTATTTAGTATCAATTCCATGAGCAGCACAACAATTTTAATTAAAAATCGTAAACGAAAAAACTATTGAAATTTCTTTTACTTTATCCAAAAAAGAACAACATTTTATACTTGCATATTTAATTTGCATTAGAATTTTAGTACGTTTACAAATGTTTTAACCTTCTTCTCTCGAGCTCAAAATACTTAGGTTATAGTTTATTTTATTTTACAGCATAAAACCATAACCCTACACTGAATACATGGTTTAAGAGAGATTGAAAAAGTGTTTCGTATTGAAACAAAGACTTTTTATAAACATATTTCTTTCTATATTTTGCACGGAAAGCCAAGAGAAGCAAGTGTTCCAATTTACATGCGACATATCCTTTTATTCTGCCTGGAATTTATTTGGAATTCCAAGCTTGTTATCTTGAAGGTTTATTTGATTTTTCTAGGATTATAACAAAAAGTAATGGTTATTCCTATAAATGTGAACAATTTATTTGTACTCATAACTGTTAGAATAATAGATTACAACTTAGTTTTGGATATTGTGTTCTACTAGGAATCGATCAAATCTAATACTTCCAATTTATTGGATCAATACTTCCATTTATCGATGGAAATCTATTTTTATCATGAAGATTGTTTTTTTACGTTAAATTAAATGGTCATAATGTAAATTATATACTGGTAATTCATTCGCTTATCATGATGACATGTGAACATAAATCCACATATGTTTACCAAAAATATTACAAGAGATTTGCAAATCCATTAAACACAAAAGTAAATTCAAAGCCAGTAAATGTCAGACGTATGTCAATCTG